CACAAAGCAACTAAATCTAAGGGCAAGGCAAAGCCACAACTAGCAAGAAAGCCAGAAAAACTAGAACGAAGATAAAAGGAAGCGAATACCCTAAGGTAATGTTTGGTTGGGAGAAAAAGGAGGGGAGGGGATTTCTTACTTTTCTCTTGTTTGGTTGGGATATGGGAAGGAAAATTTTAAGTTAAAATCCCCTCCCTTTCTCATTTTTGCTCCTCTTCAAAAGTGGGGGAATTTGGAGAGGAGGGAAAATTGTAACAAATGCATTACAATTTTGCCCTTATTATCTATAATATTTTAGTGGTCCGCTCCCGCCGCCCCCGTAGGAGGACATGTTGTAGCTATCCTTAGGAGGACCGACGTGGGGAGTGTAAACCTCTCATAGGGTAGGTAACCTTTTCACCATTCTTTTATTTTATAATGGTACCTTCAAGTAATCAGGTCTCTTCATCCTTATCTTCGACAAGTGGACAGGTCTCACTCGCTGGGCCTGTCTCCCACGAATTCGTTATTCCTAAACGAGTCATGAAGGGTCTGTTGAATCCCCCCCAAATATATGATAAGTGCCCCAACTTAACTCGTACACTTCCCTGATGCCAAGACCAGAGGAACGAGATCTTATTTCTAACATCATTAATGATATATTTGTCATTTTAACATTCCCTCCCCTCTTTATTTTCTTACCAAACAAGGTTTAATATTTTCCCGGGTAATTTTTTTTTTACCTCCCAAAGTATGCGATTTTTTTTACTTTGGCATATAAACTTTTTTTGTTGACATTTCTCCACCCAAAGTAATCGAAACTGACATTTTGCCTCCTTGATTAAAAACCCTAAAATGGCACAAAAGTGTTTTAACTCAATTAATGATAAAATTTAAACTAATCTTTAAAATTGATTTAGGGCTTTTAAAGTTCATGACGAGACGAACAAAATGAGGTATGATTTGTCGAATTCTGAAAATTGATACTTTTATAATTGATCCACGAAGATAGTAGGAACACGTGTGTATAGAAAAAAATTCAATTCAAGATTTTTTATAATCAAGATATCCGATTTTTGATTGGGAGGTGTCATTTGAAAGGTTGGAGGACGAGTTTTCTATCGAAGTAAATCTTATGAAAATCCAACGGTCGGATTTTGATTAGTAGCCAAAAAAAAGCTAACTATCGATCAATAGTTTTCTAAATACTGATAAAAAATATGACCGTTGGATTTTCATGAGATTTAATTCTATAGAAAACTCGTCCTCCAAGCTTTCAAATGACACCTCTCAATCGAAAATCGGATATCTTGATTATCAAAAAACTTGAATTGAACTTTTTTTTTATACACACGTGCTCCTACTATCTTCGTGGATCGATTATAGAGGTATCAATTTTCAGAATTTGACAAATCATACCTCATTTTGTTCGTCTCGCCATGAACTTTAAAAGCCCTAAATCAATTTTATACATTAATTTAAATTTTATCATTAATTGAGTTAAAACACTTTTGTGCCATTTTAGGGTTTTTAATCATGGAGGCAAAATGTCAGTTTCGATTATTTTGGGAGGCAAAGTGTCAACAAAAAAAGTTTATATGGCAAAGTAAAAAAAATCGCATACTTTGGGAGGTAAAAAAAATTTACCCTATTTTCCCTTACCTCCCATCTAACAACATCCCTCCAAACAAGGTAAATTATTTTACTATGAATTCCATGTAACCCACTTCATTCACTCACTACATGTGGTGAAAACCCATTTCATTTGTAGTCCATCCCATTGCATCAATGACCAGATCCGAATCCGACCCGAAACAGTAAAAATAGTAACTGTCAAGGATTCAGAACACACCAGAATTTTCTGTGACTGTACTTCACGCACCAACACTTGTACTTCCCATCGTCTCTCAGCTATCCATCTATCCCCTGCAAACCAAGACAAAAGCCTAGACTTGGACTCCTCAAAAATTCCTCAACTTAGAAGTCCGAACCACCACCACCGGCCAACGAGAAACCCCCAAACCGAACCGCCGTTCTTCTCCGCCGTCATCGCCATGTTCAGGGACGTGTCAGCGTGCAACAGCTACAACTACGGGGACGCCCTCTATTGGGACGCCCGCTACGTGCACGAAGCCAATTGTGGTTCCTTCGATTGGTACCAGCGCTATTCGGCCCTCCGCCCCTTTATTCGGAAGTATATTTCTCCGATTTCGCCCGTGCTCATGGTTGGCTGTGGAAATGCCGGTAAGTCTCTTGCCGGATTTTTTCTTTTCCGGTTTCATTTTGTTGAGAAAAAAATGTTCTTTTTGCCCCCTTTATCTTTGATGGTCTTCGTTTTTATCAGTGTCTGTCTGTATCTGAGCTAATCCTGATTACAAGCCGATGGGTCAGTCTGTCAATAATATATTTTTGTGACCATTTTATGCAGCTTGTTATTATATGTACAGAGCATGATGTAAAGTGGGTTTGTGCTGTGTTACTTTGTTAAAATGATGGTATGTAATTTGCTTCCTAGTTATCTCCGAAGACATGGTTAAAGACGGTTTCGAAGATATAATGAACATTGACATATCATCTGTGGCTATTGAGATGATGAAGAAGAAATACAGGCACATACCTCAATTGAAGTGTATCCTTGCGGAAACGACTAGTTCTTTGTTGTAGAATTTTAAAAGGCTCACTCCATTCTGTTTCTGTCGAGCATCATCAAATGCCCTCTTTCTTATGTTTAACTGTGTAACTTTAGTTTCTTTTAGTTTGAATATGAAAAGCATCACAACATTTAGACCCAGAAATCCTTACAAAGTTATCCAGACATGCAAATGGATGTTAGAGACATGAGTTTCTTCTCAGATGATTCATTTGATGGCATTATTGATAAAGGTATGTTGAGTTTCTTTTCTCTCTTTTTTTTTTTTTTTTTCCTTTTTTCTTTGTGATTATTTTTTTTCTACATTATAATTTCGATCCGTGTGATGCAAATATCATAACATAGTTACCTTGTATAAGTGCATGACCTGCTGATTTGCGTAATAGGCACCCTTGATTCACTGATGGTGAGTTATATATTCATGTTCCTTCTCCATTTGTTTTTATCTTATTCTGCTCTCTAACTTCTTTTTCTTTTCTCTATTTTCTTGCTACGACTCTCTCAAGTGTGGCACTGATGCTCCGATTAGTGCTTCTCAAATGTTGGGGGAAGTAAGCAGGTTATAGGATTTTTATTGACATTTTATACCTTTGTGGTTTTTGTTGTAGTTTTTACATTAACCTTTTTCATTTTCTTTTCACGCCTAGTCAATTCAGTACCTTAATTATATTTTGTTTCCTTTTGTCACTTGTCACTTGTAGGCTTCTTAAACCTGGAGGAGTTTATATGTTGGTAAACTTAATCTTTAGTTTGCTGTATGTTCTACATCAGCTTGCCATCCAAAATTGATTTTACTACTCTGACCTTTTGCAGATAACATATGGTGATCCTACTGTGCGTATGCCACATATAAATCGACCTGTTCACAATTGGAAAATTGAACTCTACATTATACGTAAGTGATTTCTCTTCTGACATAGTAGTTCTCCTAAGTGGTTTAGACTTCAGTTTATACTCTATTTATGCACTTAGTAATCGTGTGATGTTTATGCCTCTCTCACCTTTTGTTGTTCCTCCCATTCTAAATTGCTGACGTCGGTCTTAAGCTTCATTTTCTTTTACCTGGGTTGCAAAATTTATTTAAAGCATAATGCTAAACTTTCTTTTTTTCATCTGTTAAATTAGTAGTGATTACATTACCATTGTTGCACTGTCAGTAGTTGCTATAATGTTTTCTGTTGGCTGCTCAAGGTTTCAGTTAAAACCAAAAACATGCGCATACGAAGATTGTATCTTTATGGTTTAGAGAATTCCAGGTTTTAGTCCAGCGTGACATTAGATTAAGCTATGATATTCTGATACCTTGGAATAAATCTTGTCTTGCTCTAGTAACAAAATCTGAGGTTAAATGATGTCATTGTAGTCTTTCAAATCTATGTAGTTTGGCTTGGGAGCTGTTGATCTAAGCATAAATTTTCAATGTTGTTTCAGAATATTGAACATGGATAAGTTGGACGAGTTGTAGATGTTATAACTTACATATGATCTGATCAACTGTTTGTGCAAAAATTATTACATTTTCTAATGATGTCGTTTTCCCCTTCTCTATACTTTTTAGAGGTACACGTTACCATCCAAGATGGGAGAATATGTTAAAATCGGTATCTTATGGAGCTATGTGGGGTGTTTTTGTTTTTTGTTTTTTTGTGCTGCACTCACATACTGCATACAAGGAACTATATTTTTCTTGGATGACAATCTGCACTGATGTTTTTGAAGGGAAACGGCGAGCATGTTTATCGAAAGAAAAGTTCACTTGGCTGATTTTAATCCATCTATATAATAATACTGCCCTAAATATCACACTGACCTACGGAGTGGCGTGTGCAATAGCAGTTTATCTTCATATAATATCATGTCACCAGTCCAAAATGCTAATTGACATACGGAGTGGCGTGTGCAATAGCAGTTTATCTTCATATAATATCATGTCACCAGTCCAAAATGCTAATTGCATGTTAATGTAACACATTTATGTTATAATTTGAAATATCAGCTGGTCAATCTTTAAAGCACATACGCCATTGGAAGTAAGTTTTTTGGATTGGATTTGATTTATTGGATAACGTGACTGGGTGGAAATTTGGATTGATTTTGAGTTTGTGAATGGATATGAGTTGACATGATTAAAGTTTATGTGATGTGAAAATAGTGAAATTACGATTGTGCATAATTGGTAGTTAAAAATATACGAGTGAACAAATAGTGAATTGTGTTGGACATTGTGTAGTAATGATTGGTTGATATGATTTAATTATATTGATAGAATTGAGGAGAGTTAAGTTGAATTTTGAGTTAACACTTCGTATCCAATCGTAATTCCGTTAAAAAATAATTATCCGGCCTGTGAAAAAATAAATAATAAAAATCTGTTTCCAATAGCAGAATGTCTCAACCATGTTTTTTTTTTTTT